TTTTTTTTTTTTTTTTTTTTTGGTACTGGGGATTGAACTCGGGTCCTTGCACTTGCAAGGCAGGTGGCAGAACCACTGTGCTAAATCCCTGGCCCTGTAATTTTTTGATATTATATGAAATGCATCAACATTTGAAAGATCAGCCCATTTTCTAAATGACCAATGCATGATGATACAAAATCAAGTAAGGGGTGAGGATACCAAAAAAAAAAAAAAAAAAAAAAAAAAAAAAAAATCAGGTAAAAGTACAGAATACACCAGAAGGTAGTTCTTGTTTATTGACCAAAGGGTTTTAATATAACAAAGTAGTTAATGGGGCAGAAAGTTCATTGATACAATTTAAAATTGCACATGTGCAACCTTTGAGAAACCACCATATGTTGAATTTCGGTGTAGCATTAAAGAACAATATCCACAGTTAACTATTCAAGCTAACATACCCCTTTTCCAACTACATAGCTGGGTGAAGCCAGGTTTTCTTCATAAACTTCAAACAAAATATGTTGCAGCAGATTGGCTACAGAAGCAGTCCTGAGACTGCAGCTGTCATTTATTAAGCCAGACAATAAAAAGATTGGTAAAATTGTCAGACAGTGCCCCTCTTTTCAAGACATTTTGGCTGGGCGTAGTGGCCTGTAATCCCAGCACTCAGGAGGCCGAGGAAAAAGACTGTTTTGTTCAGGAAATTAGTTCATTTTCATAAAAATATGTTATTTATGTTAATAAAATTGATGACTTTATCCTAAAGTGAATTAAACGTTAAAAATGTTGTTTTCATTAATGGTATGTTGTATTGATAATACACAGAAAAAAGCTCTGAGGAGTGCCTCAGTGATTTGTAAGAGTTTAAAGGGAGCCTGAACTGAAAACGTTGAAGAACTACTGACCTCAGTTGTGGCTGAGGAAGGAGAACAATGGAGAGGCCATCTGCGCTGCCTTTTTTTGAATTAGCAAAAACTTTTAATTAAAAGAGAAAATAAAGGGGAGCACAGCTGTGACAAAGATCAAGCCGGTCCCCTTCCAAGGAAAGTCAGAGCAGCTGGGAAAGAACTCAGCCTGAGGAGCTGAGGGGCCCAGTCCCATGCAGGGTGCTGGGCACTGTACCCATGAATCAGGAGGTGGCTTTTAAGGCTCAGCTGTGGTGGCCAGGTTCCCCCTGATCACCAGTTTCCTGTCTGCAGGGATCCTTGCACCTTGGGCAGCAGTTTTGGTTCCGTTCCACGAACCTGTCATCCCTGTCCTTATCTGTGATGGTTCCAACCTGAGAGGCTCTGCTTTTCCGGATCCCAGATGAGCGCTGGTTTAGGACAGTGGCTGGAGACCTCCAAGTGTCGCTCAGGGAGTGTCTGGAATTGGACCTGTAAAAGCTGATAATCAGATTTCCTTGTGAATCTTGAAAACTAGTTTTACCTTGGTGTCCTCGCCTTGAAAAGGATGAATTGAACAAGCTAGGTAAATCTAGGGCTAATAAACTTCGTTCCACTTCTGTAAGACTCTAAATGACTAACACGCCCATAAGCAGAGCTGGGAATCTGACCCAGAGTTTCACAAAGGCCAAGCTTCGTTCTCCTTTCAATTACCTACTGGGCATGTGCAGACCTGAGTGAAAGGCCGCGGGTTTTAGCTCAAACTGCTTTCAAGTCCCTATCTCAGAAGAAAACACAATCTGTGCTTTTAATGAGTAACAGGTTAAGGACCCAGGAGTGAGTCCTTTGTCCCCATGGTGGTCTCCAGGTCATGACTGTGTCAGTATCACACCTTCTGGGGGATGGCAGACTAAGCTGGGGCTTCCAGAAGGTTCCGCCTCCTCAGGCGCCTCAGGTTGGTCTGGCTGTTCCGGCTCATAGGGTAAGGATAAGTCTCCTCAAGAGAGCAGGGAGGCTGAGATGGGGGTCTCCTGCTGGGTTGGACAAGGTTCCACTTCTTGCAGACTCTCTGGTGGTGAGGTGGGGGCCCGCAGCTGGCTTGGAGTAAGTTGAGCCTCCTTCCCAGCCTGCGTGGTCCTCATGTCCTCCACAGCCACGTTAACTGTGACCAATGGCGAGGGTGAGTGACGAGCTTCCCTCCTACCTGGAGATGGAGCTTTCACCTCCTGAGGCACCATTGGCCTCTCCACACGCTCTGCAGCAGCAAGGTCACACTGGCCCTGGCCTCCTGCTGGGTGGAAGAAGGTTCCCTTCCTCGGGTGCTGGGGTGCTGGGAGAGCTGACCTGAGGTTTCTTGCTGAGGAGAAGAGGATTGGACTGGGGAAGCTCTGTGTGGAGAGCCAGGGCCTCCAGCTGGCACTGAGGAGGTGCAGTTTGTCCTGGGGCTCTGGAGGCTCATCTGGGTTCTCCAGGGAGTCCCGACCAAGGCTGTTGGTGCTCAGCTCTGTCAGCACTCAGGTCCACATAGTCATCCTGTGCGGTGTTTTTCTGAAGCTTAGGTTTTACAAGTTGATGTGGAGTTCCCACCTCGGAGTCAATGAGTGTTGGATGCTGGGCTGACTCCTCCTTCAGGTTGAAGGGGGAAACAGTAACATTGCAGCTTTTGGACCCCGACTGTCTCTAGAGGAGAAACAGGTCTGCGAGTGGCAGGCAGTGTGGATCTGAGTCGAGAGGCACAGCCAGGGCCTGGCTCTGACCCCCACCTGGCAGCAGGTCCACCTGTGGGTGTCTCGCTGGCCATGTGAATTCATCCCGCAGGCCCTGATGTGGCTCTAGGGAGAGCCGTCCAGCTGAATCCCTGACCAGGAGTGGGAACAAACCCTCGGTCCCCTCCAGAGGTGGGATCGGAGTTTAGGTCATGGGCTGGACCTGGCCTAGTGGCCGGAGTTCTTCCTCCTCCATGTTGAAATCTCCAAAATCTTCCTCCCCTTGGCTGTACTGCTCCTGAGCAAAGCATCTGACCCGATTTACATTCCGAAGTTCTTCCTTTTCGGCATCTGTGGTCTCCTCTCAGGGTCTGCACTCCGCGGCTGTTTTACCACTCTTCAAAGCCACAATGCAGTTTCTGGAACACGTCTGACAAAGCCTTCTGAACAGCAAGCTTCTGGGTTACCTTCCTTTTCATAAGCGGTGCCATCGGCCCTTCCTCCAGCTCCTCCAGCTCCTCCACAACCGCCACCCAGGACTCCAGCACCACCTCCAGGGCGCACAGCACTTCGGGCTCTGCTTCCCCAGCGGTGCCGACCACAAGAGCTTCATCTTCCCTTCCTTCAGGATCAGAAAGCTCCTGTAGCTTGATCCTTTTTGACTATCCACTGAAACCAAAGTAGCAATTTGCCAGATCTCAGCACTGTGTGCTGCTCAGGGGAAGGGTCTCATGTCGAGCTGCTGTATGTCTCTTCCCAAGATGAACCTTCATCGGGGCGCTCTGAACCAGCGACCTCCCACTGCAGGCCTTCTGGGCTCTTCTGGCATCTCTGGCTGAGTAAAATCTGTCGACGGCGTAGAAAACAGGCCGGGCTACCACATCTTCGGGGAGAATGTGGACCGAGTGCAGGAGGCCAAAGCAGGACAGCGCTGTGGACAGAAGCTTCTGCGGCTCCCTGGCCCTGCAAGAGCTGAGTCCCCGACCCCAACACCACGCACTCTCTGGAGCGGGCAGTGCCCGGGCAGGATCCCCGTAGGTGGCAGTGTGGGTGCCGAGAAGCTCCAGTGGCCAAGCCCGGTCCCCACAAGCCCGAGCCCTCCAGGGGATGGTGCCGAGGCCAGAGGTCCGGACCCAGTCAGTGGGGGCGGCCTCCTCCCTCCTCCCAGCTCACATACCAGGCCAATGCAGTGGGTCCCGATCCAGTTCCCACACCAGCAAGGTTTTGTCTTTCTCAGTGGGAAAGGCAAAGGGAATCAACTCCGCCATCCTGGACCACCCTGCCTGGGTTTTCTTGAGGCCTAGCCCCTCCTGCCTCAGCCTCTGGAGAGCAGGGATTACAGGCGAGTGCCGCCATGCCTGGTGTGTCACTAGATTTTAATTCGAGATTTTCTTGTTCTCATTGGAAATATTCTTCGGCCTAGGAGTTTGAGATGGCAGTTAGCTTGACTGCTCTTTTTGTAAATCACAGGAAGGACTGCAAACTCCTGTCAAAAGAAAGTTGTTCAGCCCCAATAACTGTTAGAAATATTTGATTAAAGTACATATTTTTATAATAAATCCCATACTTCTGTATTCACAAATATATGCAAAGATTGCACAACCAAGAAAGTATAAGGTGATCTGGCCTATGATCAGTCATACCTTTTAAATTATCAGCTAATTTCTACTTGGGCCTTCAGAAAGGCGATAAATGCTTTGATACCATACTAGTGAGAATGAATAGCTTTTGGTGAAAAGGCAGTTCCTTTGGGACCAGCTCTGTTCTTTTGAAGATATATATATGTGCCATACTTGAGATGTGAACACATAAAGTCTAAATCATACCAGATCTTGTTCACAATTGTCTTTGTATACTAGATCTTTCACTGTTGGCTAATTTTAAAATGTCTTGATCTCTAGTTTTTCTGGGAAATTCTTCTGTACTGGAAATAGAGCACCAAAAAGAAGGGACATTATTAATTGCTTTCTGCGGTTTTATTCTTTTATTTTCCGTTCCATAGAGACCCTCCACCCCAACCTGTGGCTCATGGAGATTTGAGTTGTTACTGCATGGGGTTAGGGAGTCCATGTACACAAATGCTTTTTTCTCAAAGAACACTCAAAGTGTAAATGATTAAAACCAAGTCTTAGGGCTGAGGATTTAGCTCAGTTGTTCCGCCGCCTGCCTCACCAGCAAGCACAAGGACCCGAGTTTGATCCCTGGTAGAAAAAAAAAAAAGAAAAAAAAAAAGCCAAGTCTTAAAACTTGAAAACAGTTGTCATGTCACAGTAATCCTCACAACATGAAGTCATCTCTTGTATATCTGCCAGCTGTGGCCAGCTTTCCTGTGACTTGGCTGCCCACACCTCCAGCCTGTACCACACAATGCTCTTTATTTTCCCCTTGGTGTCTCTCATCTCCCTGGAGTAGACTCTGCTCTGCTCTCATTTCTGTTGGTTCAGGAGACTTAACATTCTTAACAGCTGGTTTAGGGTGTCTTTGCACACCTACCCTCTCATTTTTGATGTTGTCATTTGTTCTTCAAAGCTACCTCCCCATAACAGTTTTTATTTATAACCAAGTGTCCATGACTTTTAGGTGTGAAATTTAGAAAGTGAGAGGAAAAATACGGACAGGTGCCTTAGAGTCCATTGACAAATTTAGTTGATCTTTTTCTTTCTGTTTACTGTTTTTTTTGTTTGAGATAGGGTCTTACTCTGTAGTTCAGCCTGGCCTTGAACTCAGTATGCAGCCCAGTCTGGCCTTAAACTCAGTGTCAATCCTCCTGCTCAGCCTTCCAAGTTCTAGGGTTACAGGTGTGTGCCATTAGGCCAGGCTGTTGTGAAATCTCATCTCCTCTCCACGCCCAACCCTCCCTCCCCGCCTTCCTTCCGCTGGTTATGTAGGTCAGGCTGGCCTTGAACTCACAGTTTGCTTGTTTGGCATAGACCTAGGTCATGTCACTGGGTAAAACTGCTTTTCTCATTTACCATACCTGTAAAAGACTATAGTTTGTTTAATATTTTAAATTTGTGTCAGAACAAGTTGTTAGAAATTATTCTGCTTTGAAAAACCTAAAAATATACTGAAACAGCAAAAAGGCCCTCATAAAGATGTTGATAATGATTTTGGGCTCCCCAACCTCCAGAACTGTAAAAATTAAATTTCTGTTCTTAATTAATTAAAAAAAAGTACTATATAATAAATGTAACTGTACTGTATACCTAAAATGTACCAATAAACTCAATGAGGAGCAAAAAGTACTATAGCGATGTCCACATATTTTGCTTAAATTATAAAATAAAGCAGAATGCTTTGAATCTGGTAGAGGAAATAATAGTACACCAGCAACTCCTTTATATGTTAATGTTCTTAGTTTTATGGGTAGTTAAATCTTTTTTAGGGGGTTGTCATGCTTAAAGTAGGAAGAAATAGGAGTGAATGTTTTGCATACGAGTGAAATAGGTTTGAGTTCTGTTTTTAATCTTTATCAAAAATATGGCTGCTCAGGTTCTTGTGCAGGGGCTTTCACACAGCATGCAGCTCTGTGAGTGCTCGTTCCCTCTGCTCTCTCCAGCAGTCTGCTATTTTGGAGAGCATCTGAGAGCACTAAAGACACTTAGGTACTGCAAAAATATCTGAGTGTATCTGAAGTACATGAAAACCTATTTAATAAGTCAAAAAGTATGCATTGAACACTTAGTATGTTTTAGCTAATCAGCCACCACAGCAAACAACATGAGGTTGGTTTGAAAATAAAAATTGTTTACATGTTATTAGGACTTAGTAAATTATTTGATGTTGCTTTTGCATTTTTTATTATTAAATGAGCAGTAGAATTTTTTCTTTTCAAAAAAAAGTTACAACTTTGCCACCTTTTCCGTGAGGTAATTCCATGATCTCTTTACTTATATACTATAACCATATATATTCAACCAGAGGTTATTCTTTTCTACCGTGCCTCTAGAAACTAAGCAGCACTGGGCAGAAACGTGTAACCTTTCTGCTGTTAGGTGTCTGTGAAGTAAGGCCAGAAGTTTGGATCCCAAGGTGAAACCAGAAAATTGGTTATGTCTCAGTTTGTTCTGATTGACTTGATTAAATAGGATCTTGGGTTGTCAAAGAAATAATGTGTAGTGAGTATTTTTTTACACGTGAGCGCATTCTACAGGTTATTCTTAGACTAACACATGCATCTTTCCTCTAGCATTAGATAGAGAACTTTCAGTTTCACTGCTTAGAAACTGGTCTCTTCAGCTATTAACCAGAATGTATGAAATTCCTTTACTTTCTTTTGAGGAAGTCTGTGTTTGCTACATTTTTCTTTTAATTTTTTTTCAACTTTTAACTAATCTTATAAAAATTGGAAATATATTTCAGTGAAGATCCAAGTACAATACACTTGTCTTTTGTATTCTAAAATCTTGTAGAGTAGGTTGCTGCATTGTGTCTATTTTAGTCACTTTACTGTTGCTGGGACAAAATACCCAGCTCCCACAGTTTAAAGAAGGAGAGCTTTATTTTGACTCATGGTTATCAGAGAATTCAGTCCATAGCTGGCTGTCTCCAATGAGAAAGGGCATGGTGAGTGGACTGGGTGCAGAACAGCTGCTCATTCCATGGCCGCCTAGATGCAAGGGGAGGGAGGAGCGGGGGAAAAGAACACTCTTCCAGTGTGTGTATTCCAGTGACCCACCTCCAACCAGGCCCCACGTCCTAGCATCACATTCAGCTTCTGATTTCACCAGTGGATGAATCCACGGATGAGTCTAGCACTCCACGATCCAATCACCTGCCCAAGGTATGAGGCTTTTGAGGGATATATTGTATCTAAACCATAATATTCCTCCTCTCACCCCACATCCATCTTATGCAAAATGCATTAGTCCATCTTTAAGAGTCACCATTTTTAGCAGTGTTGAAAAGTCCAGGTCCAAAGTTACCTCTGAGACTCAAGGCAAAGCCTGAGCTGTGAGAATCTATAAAAACCAAAAGAGAAAGAAAAATACTTCTAAAATACAATAGCACAACATAACATTCCCATTCCAAAAGGGAGAAGAAATAGAGGGATACAAAGGGATGGGAGCAGAGAATGACCGAAACCCAGCAGGATGAACATTAAACCCTGTAGTTCCGTGTCCAGCACTGGAGCAAGTTGTGGTGAGACATGAACTCCAGAGGGCTTGGGCAGCTCCTCCTATGGCCTTGCTGGTTGCAATCCATGTGGCCTCTCTTGGGGTGGTCCCACTTACTGCCTGAGATTTTCCTTGGGAGATGCCACTTTTACCTTCTCAAGTGGAAGCTTTTCAGTTTTGCACCTTTGAGCTTGCAAAAAGTGGGCTCTTCCCTATTCTTGAGATACCCTCAAGGCATCTTTCCTGTTGTCCTGATACAATCTACTTGGCTTCTTTTTAATGCTAATATTTTAGTAACCATGCTGTCCTTTGCCCCAATTTTATAGTTTCTTCCTTTCTGATGAAGCTCCAAACTTAACAAAAATTATTTAGCTCTGACATTTGCTCTAGATTCTCAATGCAAATCTGGGAGAAAGCAGCCAGCAGTACCCCTGCCACATAATTCCCAATTTGAAACTATACTACAAAGCCACTGTGATAAAATCAGCATGGTACTGGCAAAGAAATAGGCCTGAGGATCAATGGAACAGACTGGAAGACACAAAAACAAATGCAGATGTACTCAGCTACCTCATCTTTGACAAAGGAGCTCACCATCCTCAGTGGAGGAAAGATAGCCTCTTTAATAAATGGTGTTGGAAAAACTGGATATCAACCTGCCACAGATTAAAATTAGACCCTTATCTTTCGCCATGTACTTGGCTTCTTTTTAATGCTAATATTTTAGTAACCATGCTGTCCTTTGCCCCAATTTTATAGTTTCTTCCTTTCTGATGAAGCTCCAAACTTAACAAAAATTATTTAGCTCTGACATTTGCTCTAGATTCTCAATGCAAATCTGGGAGAAAGCAGCCAGCAGTACCCCTGCCACAGCCTCAGTGTTGGACTGCTTTGAAATTTCTTCGTCCAGATTAATTAGTCAACTGCCCCCAAAGTGCCAGAACATGGACAAAAGGTAGACGTTTTCTGCCACATGTCGTCATTCTAATGGAGTTTTTGTTTTCTCTTGAAACCTACTGAGCCTTGCTTTTCCTATCAAGCTCTGTTTACTGTGTTCTAGGATTACTCTAGCTGGCATCTCCAAACCTTCCAGTCTCCTCCCACACAAGTTCTGAAGGCTTCTAAACCACTTAGTCAGCTATAGTCATGGCAGCAACCCTGCTTCTCTGCTACCAAAATCTTAGTCATTTTCCTATTGCTGGGATAAAATATTCAATAGCCACAATTTAAATTAGGAAGAGAGGTTTGTTTTGGCTCACACTTTCATTGTCTGGTCAACTGGCTCCGAGCGGGAAGGGCACGGTGAAGGAGGCTTGGCAGAGGACAGTTGCTCATCCTGGGGCAGCCAGGAAGCAGAGAGAATCCACTTCCAGGTTACGCCCTCAGTGACCCGCCTCCAGGCAGACCCCGCCCACAGCACCCTCAGCTATGAGCTCATCAGTGGAGGAATTCCCTGATGTGTGTCGTGTCCACATGAGCCAGTCACTTTCCAAACCCCAGAAGGGGTTTTTTCCTGGGGTCATTCTTTTTATCTAAACCAACACAGTGCCTTTTCATCCTCATGGACAAAGGCATTCTCCTACATAACCTGATAATGTGGGTTAAAATCAGAAAATTAACATGTTACTGCTGTCTAACCCTCAAGGACAAGTCTGTGAACATGGCCAAAAAAGAATCTGAGCGTCTTTCCAAACCCCAGAAGGGGTTTTTTCCTGGGGTCATTCTTTTTATCTAAACCACAACAGTGCCTTTTCATCCTCATGGACAAAGGCATTCTCCTACATAACCTGATAATGTGGGTTAAAATCAGAAAATTAACATGTTACTGCTGTCTAACCCTCAAGGACAAGTCTGTGAACATGGCCAAAAAAGATAATCTGAGCGCTACAATATGGAAAAAAAGTCACAATAACACAGTTGAGAGAAAGTCTAAGTGTAGTATAAAAAAAATATGTATGCATAGTATTAGGTAAATGGCAGTGAGTGGGCGGGGCGGGGGAAGATGATCCTGGAAGGAGGCTGCTATCCACGTGTGTGTCTAGAATTCGGGAGCGTGCTGTACCCACTGATACTGATGACTGGAGTCACCTGACCACTGGATAGTGGCAGCTTTTGACTTTGCATTTGGCTCTCCGCCATTTTGATTTTGTTGGTCTTCTAAGACTTAGTGTTTCATTACATGAGAAGGATTCTTCAGGGTATGCAGCTGTCCACCGTACTGTACAGATGATCTTACATAAATATCCACCCTTAAAGCTTTGTTGCTGAGGAATGAGAAAATTCGCTTTCTCTGATCAAAAAGATTAATTTTCCTCCTTTACTTTGGTCCTGAAAAAATAAAGTTCTTCAGATAGTTCTGTCTGTGATATTAAAATATGCTTTTGTCAAAGTGACACTATGCATGTAAAACAGATATGCTAAAGTAAAATTTTTCTTTGGAAAGTAAAAATAGTCAGATATGGTGGTGCACACCTGTAATCCCACCATTGAGGAAGGCTGGGCCTGAAGGATCATAGTTTGACTTATACTCAAGCAGTTTATTGAGATTCTGTGTCAAAATAAAAAATCCAAAGGGCTCCTGGGGGTGTAGCTCATAGTGGTGCCCCCCTGGGTTAAATCCTAGTACTACAGGGGAAAAGAAGGAGTAAGAAGCCCTATCAGGAAGACTACTTCACTGAAAGGATTATTTAGGGAAATTTTAGTTATTATTTATTGTTCCTATTTATTATTATTATTATTATTTTGTGTTTCTGGGGATGGAACTCAGCCCCTTTGCACTGAACTATTTCCCCCAGACTATTCTAAAATTTTCTATTTTTAGACAGGGTCTCCCTAAGTTGTCTAGACTGGGCTCAAATTTACAGTCCTCTGCCTCAGCCTTCCAGAGTGCCGGGCTCACAAACACATGCCCAGCAAAAGTTTTTTTTTCATTTTCCACTTTATTTACTATTTTTTTTTCAAGTATGAAGATTGAATCCAGGACCCTTTGCCCTGAACGTACATTGCAAGCCCTTTTTTTTAAAGTTTATGTGTCTTGTTTATTTTTTGTTTTATTGGTAATTTTATTTGTTTACTTGTTTTCTTGGTACCGGGATTCAAACTCAGGACCTTATGCTTGCCAGGCAGGCACTGCACCACTGAGCTACATCCCCAGCCCCTTGTACATTTTATATACACAGAATAACTTTCATATAGGGAATTTGTACATGGTGCTTATGTAAATATTGATTAAAGTTTTTTAAACATTTAGAGACACTCAAGAAACAATTCATACCTCATCAAGAATGACGAGCTCTTCATTGTTTATATATGTCTTTGTGTACTCTGGCAATGGGAATTTTATTCATATTGAAATGTCGTTTCACCTGTAGATTCTGATTATTATACGTGTTCTTTAGGCTCTTGCGGACCAGTTTGAGGATAAAACTACATCTGTGCTGGAACGTCTGAAGATTTTCTACTGCTGTCAAGTACCACCTCACTGGGCCATCCAGGTACTTTTGTTTGTCTTTTGGTGTGGAAAATACTGTATTTTGCAGTAGAAAGGCTAATATGGATGGCATAGGCCTATAATCCCACACGCTTTTGAGGCCTGTGTTCAAGTGAAACAGAAATCTCTCTTTACATCAAGGAGTATTAATTATTCTAATTTGATTTTTTTTAGCGCCAACTTGCAAGTTTGCTGTTTGAGTTGGGGTGTGCAAATTCAGCCCTTCAGATATTTGAGAAGCTGGAAATGTGGGAAGATGTGGTCATTTGTTACGAAAGGGCTGGGCGGCACGGGAAGGTATGTAGTAGGAAAGTCCTGGGTCCTGGTGAGAGCTCACTTCCTTTGAACATCTCCCTTTTCTGCTTTTTAAGCCCAGTTTTGCCAGTATTCACTTATATTCCTTGTTTTGCTTTGTTTCTGGAAAACTTTTTAATGTTTCTCTGATTTTATTGGGGCATATCATTTTAAACAGACTGAAATTGATATGGTATTTGACACTTAAATAAGAGTAATGAAAACCTTGAAGACATTGTGCATTTTAGTCCTTTTCCTTTATTGACTCTTCTCCTGTAGTACAGGTTCAAAGTGGAATATTAGGAATTATTTATATTATTACTGAGTTGGCTGCGTTCTTAAGGGAAGTTAAGGAAAACAGCTGGCTTAGCCTGTAGAAAATCCAACGGGTGGACCCTCTCTTGGGGCAAAAGAGTTATCAAATGTGTGATGCACATTTAATTCCACCCTTAAATTGGGTCCGGGGGGAGAATGTTGCAGTATTTTCATCTGTTATTAATCTGTTGTGTTTTTCCCTTCGTAGATGAACAGAATTGTAAGAATAGGGGCTTTGCATTGTGAGTAGCAGTAAAAAAATAATGCCCTGAAATTGTGTTAAGTTTGAAAACTTTATATGACTAAGTACATAGCAAAGTAAAACCCACAAATTGGATCATTTACGTCCATGATAACCTTTTGCCATCACTGTAAAGACAAGAAATAGTGGTTCAAGTAGGAATTTTCTTAAATGCCTTCTGACGTATGTCTATTTTATCATTTATTTATCTATTTATTTATTTTTTGAGACAAGTTCTCGCTATGTAGTCCAAAATGGCTTTGAGCTCACTGTGTAGCCCAGGCTGGCCTCAGCTCACAAGTGCTAGGATTAGAGGTGTACACCACCATGCCCAGTTTATGTACTATTTTAGACTACTAGTGAAAATTGCATTCTTTTCATTAATAAGTTAATAGCAGTGAAGATCTTTGAAATTCATTGGCCAGAGGAGAAACCAGCATAAGACTGAAATTCCAGCAGTAGAAGATTATAGAATTATAATGTTCTTTTGATGGGGGAAGGAAGCAAGGGAGAAGTTTACAGCCCTGGTTGGCTAGTGGGAGGAAAACTGCTCATGTCATGGTGGTTAGGAAACAGAGAGGGAAGGGGGGAGCCCAGAGGGGTGCGCCATCTTCCAGGTTGTGCCCACCTCTGACCAGGCTCGCTTCCTTTTAAAAAATGTTTGTTGGTGCGTGTTTGTAGGACTTAGTGATTGTATTCATTGTGAGGAGTTGCTACACATCTTAGTTTTGAAATAAGAAGTAGAATCCCTTTTCTTATGGTTTGCTTCTTTACTTGAGATGCAGGATGGCTAAAAACATACAGCTTCTGGACTTAGGCTGCGGGGTTCAGAAGTGAGCCTGGCCACGTGCCAGCTTTGGGATGTTGTGCAAGTTATTGTATTCACCTTGCATCAATTTCCTTATGCAGAAGGACGTAATCCACCCATCTGCTAGATTTTCATGTGCTCATTAATATACACTAAGTACATAGAGTGAGTGCTACCTAAATGTTTGCTGGTACTATTGCTGTGATTCTAAGATGTGTTGTTTTTCAGACTTTTGTATCTTTGAAATTGGAGTATATGTGACTGTTATTGGTGTCTTCCAGTTACTGTCAGTCGGGTGGCCAGCTGCTCATGTGTGGGCTTGGTTACAGCTGTATTCAGCTTCATTTCAATTGGGTTATGGACACAGTGTCAGCACTATGTATGTTACTTTGAATTACTGTTTAAAATATTTTCAAAGAGATTTCAATATGATTTGGAATAGAGGTAAAAACCTAGAGAAAAGGTCAGGACTGAAATACAGAGATATAGATTTGCCATTAGTGATAGAACATTTGCTGTTAATCATACGTTACCTTTTCTTTAAAAGTGACCACAGAGTACTTTGTAGAACACAAAGGAAGATACCCTAAAGTGGTTGATGTTTTGTTTTGTGCCAAGTTGTGTAAAAAAATTGCCACTTACAGTGTCGAGCAATGTCCTGAAGACAGGAAGAATTGCCAGATTTTCCACAATAGATTGGAAAAAAAATCAAAGCAGTGAGTGGCTGGTATGGTTCATTTAGAGCACGAGGTCAGAAATAAGAGCATTTTTTTCTTTCCTTGTTAAGAATTTGTTTTATAGATGATAACATCTTAAATTTGATAAAGTGCAGTGTTATTTTTCTTGGAGGTTTAAAAAACATTTTTTTTATTGTCCATTTCTGGCACTAAAATCATACTCAGAAGTTTAGTGAAGGGAGGAATCCAGACATGGTGGTACATGCTTATAATCCCAGCACTCTGGGAAGCTGAGGCTGGAGGATCCTGAGTTCCAGAGTTCGATCCCCTGTATAAAATAAACAAAGAATGGATGAAGGAATATCTGGATTTCTGATCTGATATAGTTTCTACTTCATTTATTTTTACTGTTAGTCTTTTACATTGGCTGATAAATAATGACTAATAAAAATACAGGTTTTCATGCACTAAACTAAAATCAAAATGAATTAAAGATCTAAATATTAAAACAAACACTTAACTAGGTGGGAGAGAAGTTAGGTAGAACTCTTGAAGACAGTGGCGTAGGAAAAGATTTCACAAGCAATACCTCAGTTGCATGTGAACTAGCACAACAATCAACAAGCGGGGATCTCTCATTAAAAAGCTTCTGCAGTACAAGAGAAACCACCAACAGCGTGAAGACACAGCCTACAATGAAGGAAAAAATTTTCACCAGCTGTTGTTCAGACAAGGTCTACTATCTAGAATATACAAAGAACTTACAAAAGTGAAACCTCCCAAATATAAAGACCCATTCCAAGCATGGGCATCTGAAATGCACAGACATTTCTCAGATAAAGAAGCAGAAATAGCAAATAAACATATGTAATAATGTTCAACATCACTGATCATTTGAGAGATGCAGTTGAAAACAACACTGAGATTCCACCTCACCCCACAAAGAATGGCTGCTATCAAGAAATCAACCAATAACAAATGTTGGTAGGGTTGTGTGGAGAAAGGAACCCTTCTCCATTGTTGGTGGGAGTGCAGACTGGTGCAACCACTATGGAAATCAATATGGAGATACCTCAAACTAGGATTAGAGGTTCCATTTGACCTAACTATTCCCCTACTGGGTATCTTCCCAAAAGAATTAAAAGAATCATACCACAGCAGTATATGCTCATCCATGTTCATAGTGGCAGAGTTTGTAATAGCTAGAACTTGAAAACAGCCAAATTGCTCATCAACTGAAGACTGGATAAAGAAGGGGTGTGTGTGTGTGTGTGTGTGTAAAATGGAGTACTACTCAGCCATAAAGAATGAGAAATTAGAGACATGTATAGCTAAATTGATGCACACTGAGGCAATACTCTTAAGTAAAATAAATAGGACAGACATGTAAATAAATATTGAAGAGTTTCTCTGGTGTGAGAAACTGAAAGTGTAAATAATGATCAAAAGGTATAATAGATAATGTGAAATAGGAAGAAAAAGTCCAAAGGAGAAGGGAAACTGGGAAGCTTTGGGGAAAGGAAAGAAGGGAATGGGATTAATATGAGAAAAAGAAAAAATTAAAACAAAGTCTTTGTAAATAGGGAGGGGAGGAGGGTGTGAAGGGAGGGCAAGGGAATGGGGAAAAATAAGAACCAAGATATATTACGTTAAGATACAAATTTCTAATGATGAATGCCATTCTATTGTATACCTAAAATGTACTGATATAATTAATTTTTAAAAATACAGGAGGTTTTTAAAATTGTATTTTTTGAAATAAGTAAGCAAGTTGGTGAAGTGCAAATATCCAAAGTATGTTCTCTTTCTTTCTTTCTTTCTTTTTTTTTTAAATTTTTTTGAGACAGGGTCTCACTATGTAGTTGAGACTGATCTGGAACTCACTATGTAGCCCAGGCTGGTCTCTAACTCACAGTGATCCTCCTGCCTCAGCCTCCCAAGTACTGGAATTACAGGCATGTGCCACCACGCCCAGCTTGTGCATATTTTAAATTTTAGGAATGAATAGTGATTTACTTTGTCTTAAATTTTTCGTGAGTGGTAGCCAAGCATCTCTCCAAAATCTTGATGTTTGAAAATTGATTTTTAGCATTTTGTTTATTTCATAAAATCCCCCACTACCTGTTTTTCTTAGGCTATATTTGCAGATAGTTTAATTGTAGACTAATAAGTTTGGCTTCAAGTAGGAAGCAAATGTTTTATTTCTAAAACAGCTGAGATTCTTTTGGTATTTGATCAAATGCCGGTAGTTTTTACCACATTTTGATATAACTAGAAAGTTGTAAAATTGTAATCCTTGCATTTAGTGCTGAATGGCATAGTTAATTTTTAAAAGGCAAATCCAGAGAGCCATTTAATTCTAATGATTATGTTCTGACATTCACATTTGCATCCTGCCGCTGTTGGGGCTCAGACTTACTAATTTGGAAACTACCTGCAGACATTCTCATTATTTATTGGCAAAATGTTTAGATTGATTGACTTTGACCTGGGAGCTGTTTCTCATCTGTTAGCATTTAGTTTTTTAGTTACAAGACTTTCCCCTGGCTGATGGTGGATTCTTATTTTGTTGAGCAAATTGGGTCTCTGAATGAGCAGCAAGGACTGTGCTGACATAAGCGCCCGGAGTGGGGCGAGAGTGGGTGGTGAGGGTGGGTGGACGAGACGAGTCCGGACCTCGTGTTTCTAGAGAGCAAGGCACCTAGCAGTACGTAGCTGTGTCTTTTTATTATACTACGTTGCAAATCCTCGTAACCATGCCCTCTGAAAAGTTTCCCTCGAATTGCAAGTACACGTTTTATTTTTAAAACAGCAGTTTTTTTTGTTTTGTTTTGTTTTTTTAAGCAGTTGCTTTGGATGTTTCGTTTTAGGGGTTTGTCTTCCAAAATGGAATTTCTTTGTGTGATTTAGAAACTTTTCTCTTGAGTTCTTTTGCCACAGTGCAACCATAGTATATATCTTT